CAAGTCGATTCTGACTCATAGTGACCTCCATTGGGTGGTAAAATCTTTACAGAAGTAGATTGCCCAGTCTTCCTTCCATGGAGTGGCTGGTGGCTTTGAACCACCAATCTCCTGGTTAGCAGTCAAATGCCTTAGGCACTATACCACCAGAGCTCCTTTCTTAAAGAATAGCAATTAGTCGATATAATCTATCACACTAATCTAATCCAGATTAGTTCAGTCGATATGATCGTCACACTCAAAATTCAAAATACCAAAAAAAATGAATGAGAATATTCTCATCATAAAATTAGTGCATCATTTGTATTGTTGTTCTTATTTTACTGATACTAGCATTCTTACAAAGGAGCTCTGGTGGTATAGTGGTTAAGGCATTTGGCTGCTAACCACAAACTCAGTGGTTCAAACACAACAGCTGCTCTGTGGAAGAAAGATGAGGCATTCTGCTTCTGTAAAGATTTACAGCCTTGAAAACCCAATGGGGGTCACCACGAGTCAGAATTAACTCAGTGGCAGTGAGTTTGGCTTTTTGGTTTTAGCACTCTCACAATTTTATACAGACCTAAAGTTAAGTATATTGTCTGAGTAATCTTAATGTACTCAAATGGAAAATCTTATACTTTGCAAAGACCTCTTATGCATCTCAATGCTAATATAAATAGTACTTCCAACATATTTAGCTTGATTCCTCTCCATCTAGTGGATCACTGAAAGGTGACCATTGTGTTTCTTGATATTTAAAGTTATTAGAAACACACTTCAAAGCATTTACCATGTTCTTCTGTGTGGCGTCTTTACTGCGCATCGATCAAGATAATGATTTTGTATAACATTTCAATATAACTGAAGGTATACCATAAGAATCAATACTGTAAGAATTGATTTGTTATTAATCATCATCATCATCGATGGAAAACCAAGTGGTGCCTCTTGCTTCATATACATTCTCTCTAAAACTCATAATAACCTTTTAAGGTAAATATTATTGTTCACATTTTCCATACGAAGAATCAGAGGCTTGAATGGGTTATTGGGTTTGTTCAAGGCTATACAAGCTAGTACATTGACGGATTAGGATTGGGTTGGCATCAAAAGCTTTTACTAATTCTCCTAGATAACACAGCTTCAATAATCCTGTAATAAGTTAGTATAAATACACTTTTTCTTTTAACTTTTTATCATGATTTGGGTGAAAGTTTACAGAGCAAATTTGCTCTCTATTCAACAATTCATACTTACTTTGATTCACAACATTGATTGCAATCTCTACAATGTAACAGCATTCTTTCAACTTCTTCCCTGTTTCAACTGTTTCCATTTGTCCTTCTTTCCTATCCCTTTCTGGCTTTTCAGCTTTGTTATTCTTTTGTCGACCCTCCACTTTACCAAGCATGATATCCTCCAGGGAATAGTCCCTTCTGACAGCATGAACAGAGTTGTTGTTGTTATGTGCCATCGAGTCGGCCCCGACTCATAGCGACCCCTCCTTGGGTTTCCGAGGCAGTATCACTACAGAAGTAGGATTGCCCAACCTT